TCCACGAAAATGCATTGTATGCCAAATGCGAATGGATGTGAAATGAATACTATACATGAGATGAAAAATTAGATAAGTCTTAATCGTCATTTATTCACTTACGTATTTAATATTTACCTTTGTATTTAGGTACATGAGGTTTGAGAGAATTTTTAATATGAAAGAAATTAAGACATAAGTAAATAATTGACCTGCCATGCCTTTATTGCAAAATTTTATAATAACATATATACGGAACAATATTAATATATATGTATACAGGATCATTCTTGACGAGCGTATATTTAAAAGTTTAAAAGTTGAGAGCTTTGAAAAAGTGGCGTAGTTTCACTTTTTTAGACTGTTACGCATACCATAAGAAAATTCGATCTTTCTTTAATAAATCACTGAAAACTGTGTTGCAATATCTCTCACCGTTTTCGAATAATAAATTAAAATTGGGTCCCTATTTAAAATAACAAAGTTGATGGCTACTTCCGGTATTTCCGGAAGTGGCGCCATCTTGAAAATATTTTAGTTCAATTCATCATGTGCCAAAACCCTTAAAGGACTTATCAGTTTAGTTTCATTTTCAAAGGTTTTCCATGTCTTTCTAACTGACTCATCAAGAATGGCCCTGTACAGGGTGGTGACTTATTGCGTAACGCATCATAGGGATTTCAGTGTAAAATTCACAACATGCGATTATTGGCTCCCCAAATTATTTTAGAGCATAAATCTATTAAAGTTTTTCGTAGACAAAATTTTTTTACGCCAATCAACCGTATTAGTTTTCAATTTTTTTCATATAAAGACGGAAAATTGGAAAAATAAAACCCGCATCTTTTTCAATAATCTGCGATGCCATGGAATTTTCTAAAACAAAAAGATAACCAGTTATCAATTAGCAGCAGTTCGAAATGGATTGTATGATCGACTTGGTTACTGTCTTGCAGTTAATGGTGACTTCTTCGAACATGTATTTGTAAATTGTTATATTAGGAAACCGTTTTTATTAATTTGGTCTTTCTTTATGTTGAATTCGCTGTTCTAAATATAATACTTTTTTCTCCAACCACCTGAATAAGACGCTATTTTGTGACAGTATTCGGTACGTAAAATTGACGTTTTGCGGATTAATCGCTTTCACCATGGCAACTGTACAAAAAGTGGATACTTTTGGTCCTAGTACCAAAAAGAAATTGACCTTGAAAGTTGGCCAATTAAAAAATTACAATCACGGAGATATGTCACATTGACATCGTTTTACATTGCAGATTGTAAGATATTTCTATACATACAAATCAAATAGTGATGTTACCTATACGTATGTACATGTATTGAAAATGATTTACGCTCGCTATTTTTATTTAAACCATGTGTAACGTAATTTACATATTCCGTGAACGTAATTTTAATACGTATACAACTCGCCGTCGCGCGTAACGCCATCTACTTCAGACCCATTGCACTATTATCTGTCATTTTGAATTCAAAATTTGAAAAAGTTAATTGCAATTAATTTTAATTAAAAAACTGTTAGGTAAGTTCTTTATTTCAATACAAAATATAACAATATTAATTGTGTATACAATAGAAATGACTGAAACTGATAGCGACATGGATTGCACTCCGCCAGAGATTTTAGAAACGGCAGAACATGCTACCTCAAGATTTGCTCCCTCCAAAGTCGCGAGAGGTGAGAAGTAAGAAGTAAGAACGAATAGGTTATAAGTTAACCTAAAAACTAGAGTGGTATGACACGTGAGGACAAGAAAGCAGAAGTTCTTATACTAGTAGTGAAACTGTGACTGAATCTAAATTCGAATATAATTTGAAGTAAAGGGGGTCGGAGAAAAAATTTTATGTTTTATTCGTACAAAAAATGCGTTTTCGGGACTCGGAAGGTTGCTGGACTCCGGTAACGCGTCGTCCAGCAACTATCTTCCTCGTCCCGAAAACTGACATTTTTTGTACTAATGAAACAAATAACTATTTGATAGAATTTGATTTGTTTTATAGCAGACATTCCATGGCATGACGGATATTGGCGTAGTTTTTGTATTATAAAATTCCATGGCATCCCGATTTTACATTCACTAGAACCAGATATTAACTAAATCTGTGCTAGAACCAAAGAGTAGGTATATACTCTTTGTTAGAACTGGATTAAACCATTGAATAATAAATCTAATGATTAAACAAAATATAATACCTTAGTTATGGGATATCGCTGTTGGATATGATTACTGGGAGCATGTAGTAATTTTTTTCCACTTATATTTGTGGTTATAGATATGTGAGTATGTGTTAATGTTTTAATTGAGTAAATCTTATATCCGCATTGGATGTAAATAACAATAATGAATAAGGTACAATTGTGGTGCATTGAAACCGAACCCCAATTAACAGGTCATCTATAGTTTCCAAAAGAACATTAGTATTACAGGTTAATTGAAAACTGAAAAGATTAAAAAGTTTACTAAACCACGGAAAACAGTCTGTACGTCAATAGACCTAACCCAACCAGAAGACAATATTTAATCATGATACTACAACTTGTAGTATCATGATATTTAATGTAGAGTGTAATTCATATTCTTATCTACGGGACGTGAAGGAAAATATCCGCAACACCCACAAACAACGCACGCATCGCATATGTCATACACTGCGAAGTGAGAATGCGAATAGAAACGTCGACGTCAGGGTCAAAAATAATGTCACTTAAACCTGAACAGTCCCAGTTTTTTGTGATTGTTTGAAATTTTTTTTAAATTAATATGGAGGAATGCAGCACAAAATTCATCGCGAAATAGTAAAATGCTCTTTTTTGTGAGTGACGAAAGCTTTTGCATGATAATTGATAACTAATGAGTAATGTAAATGTTAAACTTCGGCGGCTTTAGGATCTAGTTTCTTTGTAGTGTAATTATGCCTAAGTTATTAACAAATTAAAACTGTCTTTGTTAGTTTTCTCTAAAAACGAATTATAAAAAAGTAAGTATAACTAGTTTTTGATTTTTTTGCTTCTATATATTAAGGTGGCGTTTACAAAAAGTGCAAAGTTGCCTTGCGATTTCCTCATTAACTTTGATTCGAGGTAAAAAAAAATAAACTTCTGTTAACGACCGATGGTTGCTAAGGGTTTAAGCTTGTGAATGAAGTTAAATTTGATAACAAATTATTATCAGTGTGTGATAAAAATGAAATAACTTCGCGCTCTTGCAACCTAACATTTTTCTTAAGGTATTCGAAAGACCTTATTTTTCTGTGGACAACCTACAAAAATTGTGCCAGGTTTTATTACAAAAAAACCGAGAAAAAAAATGTCAAAGTTCAAAAACTCTAAATTTTTTTGCCAACACTAAATTAATTCTAATTAGGAATTAGAATTATTAATCATTATGTTATCCTGTGACATTAAAATAAAAAAAAATAAATAAATTCCCAAGAGGTCACCATCCAAGTACTGACCTGGCCCGACGTTGCTTAACGTTGTGTCGGTGATCGGATGAGAACCGGTGTTTTCAACCCGGTCAGGTATGGCCGTTTTCAAGAACATTTCTCTTCTAAGGGAATTAATTGCAGAATCTTTTCTTTAAAAAAAGAGTACACGAAGAGGATGCGAATTTTGCAATTTGGGACTTTGAGAACTTTTTAAAAAATCGTAAACAATTTTCGCATGCTTGGTGGAAAGTGCGCCATCAAGATCGCAGAGGGAAATTCGTTGAGTCCGGTGTTAATAAAAAGATGCACAAAACAACAGAAGGAATCCAAAACAAAGCAATTTTCAGTTATGTACGAATAAAAAATTGACCTTAATTAATAATCGTTTAAGTTTTAAGATATAACATCCAAATTACATTTAAGTCTGTAAGAGGTCCACAAAAATTTTCCTGTTGGAGTTTGAACAATTTATGCCCGTTTGCACCTCGGTTTGCACCGACAAATTTAAGCGGAGCTTAGCCTAAGCGTAGCTTAAAATCCATGGCAACGATTATTGAGACAATGGTTACCATGGATTTTAAGCTACGCTTAAGCTAAGCCCCGCTTAAATTTGTCCTGCAAACGGCCATTAGTGTTTAATAATAAACCTGCACATACAGCAAATTAATATGACGTTTGGCATGTAAAAACGTTATTTGCTTTAAACTAGGAAGCTGCTCTGTCAAGAATTTGGCAACTGGTTTTTTCATGTAGCACACATACTGCGCCTTTAATTATTTGATTGCACTCTAATATTATTCAATGAACGTGAAATTGTTAATGTATGGAGTGTTTTTTCTATTGCCAAGTTATATACTCGTAGCTTACTAGTAAACTATATAAAGCACTGCTGGACAATTTTGTTTGCTGTTTATTTTTTCTACCGCCGAGATTGTTAGATGAAATATATGGTATATATTTTTTATTCCTTGACGAAAAATGCCATTCTATTTAAAATAATGGTCATTTAAAATGTGCTGTAAAATTTTTAAATTCGTCCATCTGGCATATTAATTCCACATTTTCAAACAATTTTGAAATTAGGTGTACTAGATTTTGGATGTAAAGGGAGATTTTTATGACCTTGTTGCCAATTATACATTAATTTATCGACAGTAGCTATGCCATAAAGACTATGGACTTAGAATTCCATTTACGTTCAAAATATGCAAAATATTCCGTTTTATTTTATATTTTGTATATTAAGTATATTACTAATCCGTTGCTAAAACAGTTTTTCTATTTGATGTGTGTAATCCATTAGGAATAGTGCTTCATCCTTGATAGGCAATTCAGATGACTAGTCCACAATAAAGAAGTTACCTACTAATAGTGTCGTCTTTAGTTGGAACACTGTATTTTAAATGGGAAACTAATTTTTTCCGTAAGTTGGAAAGTTTGGATAGGTACATCTCACATTTCCGAGCAAATTTGAAGGACGGATCATTTAAATGAATTTAAGATATGATAATATAATGCCATTTTTATCGTGATTGTGAAGGTCAGTATTTGTGAAATTTTATAGAGCATTGTTCACAAATTTTTCTTTAAGTAGGTGTTGTTGAGTGTGCCGTGCACACGAATTCCGAATTTCGAGTCAATACTGGTTCATTGTTGGTACCAGATACGTGCGTAAGTTTTAGTTTTATAATTATTACCTATGTGTGGCCTAATTATTTCAAAAGTACGTATAATTGCACATTTTAAAAAATTGTGCAGGATATAAATTTCACCAATTTTCGGCTTTAGAAGTAAAGTATATATTTCATGTCGATATAATATTAAAATCAGGATACACTTTAATTTTCTTGGATTCTTTGCTTTACTCAAAGATCATAGTTTCATAGATCATACTAGATGATATTTGCTGTAGTACCTACTTACCTACAACGTCCATGTAAATGAGTTCATTAAGGAATTAAGCAATAATTGCAAAATACTACTTTACTGTGGTAACTTGTTTGTATTGGACTTTCCAGATTGGGCTTAGCTCATACGAAAAATACTACTACGTTTCGATGTGTATGAATCCGCTGAATTACGGTACATTTTAATATTTTTTCGAACAAGCATAAAATGTTAACATAACAAGTAAGTACTTCCGTACCTTAATTATAAAATTTGTACGTTAATGTACATTAAATTCCATTCAATTAACAACAAAACTAGTAGACGTAGACGTAGAGTAAATTATCTAACCCTATCATTTACATTAGAGTGGTTGAAGAATTTGGCTGCTTTGAGAAATTGCATGTAAATTAGTGCGTAGGTATAGCCATAGATACGTATTATGTGCATAGTTCAAACAGGACAGGATTAAATTGTACCATATTCTTTGTTACAGAAGAAATATGTCCACTAATATTGTAACCTCGCACTTGGAGACTGATGTAACACCGGAAAGCAAAGAGGGTTCCATTTCCAAATCAACTTACAAATGGAAACTTGTATGGTCACACGTTTTGATTATGGTATTCATATATGCTGGTGGTTTATATGGATTGTATCTGTTTCTTTTTTATTGCTCCTGGAAAACGTGCCTCTGGAGTAAGTGATTTATTTTTTGATACTATGGGAATGTTGATCTTAAAACCCTACAGAAAATTTTATATTTTAATGGCACTCCTGTTTTTGTTGAAAATATACTAAAATACAATATGAATTAGAAAAAGTATCTGTAAAATGTATGATACTTGACTGACAGTAATAAAAAAAGTAGTTTCTTACAGTTGCACCTATACCATAGATGCTTGTCGTATTCGGGATTGTATAAAAAAATGTTTAAACAAAATAACAGTGTCAGGTAGGTTCCGTGAGGTGCAATGTTTACTTGTAGCAAAACAAATTTTGCTCAAACATACAACGATTGTTACAAATTTTTTAGTTGCATTTTTTTTCCCCCGGTATCTATTCTGAAAAAGGTTTTCTTCATTGGTAAGGAAATTTTTGAGCGTGCGAAACATTCCACGTTTGCTTCGCTTAGGTATAACATAAATGGAAAGTGGCATGAGCAATTTTTTCTAATTTGTACAACCATGTTTTAGCCTACATATATGGAACCATATCCTTTCAAGGTGTTACAGCAGGAACACATCGATTGTGGTCGCATAGATCGTATAAAGCAAAGTTGCCATTAAGGATAATTTTAATGATATGTCAATCGATGACATTCCAAGGTCACATTTATGGTTGGGCAAGAAATCATAGAGCACATCATAAATTCTCAGATACGGATGGCGATCCTCACAACGCGAAGCGTGGTTTCTTTTTTTCTCACGTTGGATGGCTGCTGGTTCTCAAACATAAAGATTTTATAAATAAAAGAAAGACAATATGTGTGGATGATTTAGAATCGGACCCAGTTGTTCAATTCCAAAGAAAGTAAGTGGATCATTCTAATGGACCTATATCAAAAAGGCCAATGACCATGACGCCCAATTTAATACAGCGTTTCACACCTAACATGACCACAATGCCCAATTTTCGATAATGACACCACACCACCGTAAAAACTTTAAGGGTGACCACTACACCGAACTAAACACGGGTCAAATCAGTCTTTTTTGTTGTATGAAAGTAGTAGGTATGTAAATTGAATGTTGATCATTAGTTGAAGCCATAGTTCTTTTTAACGGAATGCATTATGGCTATTTGCTTCAAAAAGCAATTTACAAACACACTTCCGTCGCATAATTACGAACTCCTTTCTTTACCTCGTTGGTTTAAAGCAAGGATTCTGAAAGTGGTCGATATCGACCCCTGGGGGTCGAAATCGGTCTTGTAGATGTCGGCATAAACTGATTTTGGGGGCTGATGGGGTTTAAAAATCGACCCCTATTAATTAATATACAGGGTGGCACTTTTAAAACTTTCAATGGGCGATATCGTTTTTTATATTAGAGGTATCACAAAATGGCCAAAACCGTTTCGGTAGAATCGAGGGGGAACCAAAATGGTCATATAAAGAAGGAACCAACTTCAACCTCGTACCCCCCGCCACCCCCATGCCTAAATTTTGAATTGTGACGTATCACTTGTGATACATCATAGGAAAGCTCTTAAAAATGCTTTTCAGAAATACCATACATTGGTACATTTAAACTGCCCATTCACAATTTATGTAATAAATATGAGTAATTTGAGTAGGTATTTGATGAATTTGTCAGTGTTTGAAATAAAAAAAAATTTCTTAGACCTAGTGATGCTTTGGAAAAACAATGACAGCAATTTTTAGTAAATAATAATTTTCTATTGCTTTATTTGTTGATCGGTTATTATTTTTTAGTCTCGTTTTTTATAAAAACAAATACGCAAATATAAGACGCGTCACAAAGGTCAATCCGTATACGACAAAAAAAAGTCACCACGAGAACAGAGTCGAGAGTACAATCAGCAATAAAGTAATTAAAAATGAATTTTTAAAATTTTGGTACAGATTTAAATACAAAATACAAATGTAAATGGTATGTGGTATAAATGTATAATGATTATGGTAATTTAAACAATGAACATAGAGAGTAGGTAATTTCCATTTCGAGGATTAATTTGATAGTTGCATTGTGTATTTAAACAATGATAGTGGTTTGTTTATAACTCGTTGGTAAACAACTATCTTTTGATTTTAGATAGATCAGTATCTACACATGAGTCATTGTATAGTTGAGGTATTGTTTGCGGAATAGTTTGCAAAAAGCAACACCATTATGGCTAGCAACTCATTGTTCGTCATTAATCTGCATTATTTTTTAAAATCGGTCGATTCGTTTTCGAGAAAATTAGAATAATTTCCACTCATTCGGCTAGTGCGTAAACCATTTTGGAAGTAAAATCTGAATCAATAAATTAATTTTCACTATCCCAAGATTGTCACAAACGTAACTGACAGCAAATTAAATTCCTTCTTTCCCTCGCAACAAATAAGTGATATTTTTGTTTGTTTTGTTTTCTCTCTGAACAAATTAAGATACGTCGATTAAATACATTAAATAAAGATTTTTCTAACATTCTAACATTTTTACAAATCGGTCTGCTCCTTACAAAGTTATACGTAATTAAATAAATATCGATTTTATTGCCAAACAGGCATTTGCCATTTTCGAATCGCTTTTCAGCTCTCAAGAGCATTTAAGGGAACATATATTTCAAATTCCAACCAATCGAATCGGTCGGGTAGGCTGAACCTTGTTCACAAGAATCATGCCGCACGCACATAGACACATACGTACATGCAGACACTAGTACAGACATTTTTTAAAAACCACTGTTTTTGACTCCTAGGACCTTGAAACGTGTAATTCCGGTGAATTCTCAAAATCGAATTTTGGACTGATTTCAGTAACCTCCCAATGTTTTATTGGTGAGGTTAAAAACTAAGAAATGGTGATTTTTTCCTATCACAATGCAACCAATTAGTATTAAATATTCCTCGGCGAATAATACCCCTGCGTTGGAAGGTATTATTTCTAGGGATAGGTCGTGATTCTCATCCTTCTCGCATTCTAACTTTTTCTAAACTGCTTTAGGTTTTATGTTTTCTTTTCTCGCAAGATATTTATTTTTTTACCCAAAACCGTCATAAAACCTTCATTTTCATACCTATTTCAGGAAATTTTAGTTTCCATGACAGAAGCAATGAAACTTTACCAGACTACTTTTCCTCCCTCCTGTCACTTTACCGACTGCACCTGTGACCAGTGATGGTGTCTATAATGACTTCTGTCCTCGCTTCTGTCATCACTGACAGATTGACACTAACCAATAGTTCTATATGAAAATTGAAATTTTATATTAAAATACGATGTTGGATAAAATGTAATAAGTACAGAACTCGGAAAATAACATAAAAGTCAATAAAATGGCACTACTCGGCCCCAAATGGGCCCCGTACTCCAATATTTCCTCGCCAGTAATGTGTCGTTTTCCTGACTTTTATGTAAATACCTATGTCACTATGCCCCCGTACTATAGCTCGACTCTCCACAAATATTTACCAGTTCTTTTATGATTGTGACGTTTGATTCTTTTTCGTGAAACAGTAAAATTAAGTTCCAAAACTTTTGGGGACCATCAGAATCTTCCCGATGCGTTGAAATTGAAGTGGAATATTTGACGCACAGAAAGAGCAAATCCATCCGAAAAAAGTAAGGCTTGGAACTTCACCAGGATCTTCATGACGACTTCAATGTTTCGATGCACAAAAATATAAAAGAAAGAACCCACCAAGTCCGGGTGCGGGTCTGACTTTTACACATCAAAGTTCGCGTTCAGACCCGGGTCCGGGTCTTATCCACCAAATCTGGGTCCGGGCCGGGCCCGGATTTTACCCACATCCTATAGAGATAAAAAAATCCAATACTACTTAGATCACCCCATTTTATTAATTTTTGAAGAAAATATAGTAATGTTTTCTAACTGAAACAGACGTTGTTGTCGTAGTGGTCAAGTTGTTATTGTTATTGGGCGTTGTGGTCAGGTCCAGTTCAAACCATGAATTGAATCTAAAGCTCTTTTCTTGAACCATATGCACAAATAACGCTGTAATTGAATGATCGGTTTAATGCACAACTTTTTTCCTTTACAGGTACTATTTACCTTTGGTCATCCTTTTATGTTACCTACTACCAACTATTGTACCTTGGTATTTCTGGAATGAATCGCTTTCTATATCATGGTACACAGCAGCGATGTTCAGACACTGCGTTTCGCTAAACGCAACATACTGTGTGAATAGCATTGCACATTTGTTTGGCACAAAACCATACGATAAGTAAGTTCCACTGATAGTAAAATGAAGGAGAGAAAATTATAATTAATCATGTTTAAGGAGAATATTTGCTGTTGAAAATTCCCTTATATCAGTGGTCACGTATGGAGAAGGATGGCATAATTACCATCACGTATTTCCATGGGACTACAAAACATCCGAATTCGGAAATTCTCGCCTCAACCAAACCACAATGTTTATCAACTTTTTTGCGAAAATTGGATGGGCCTACGACCTAAAAACGGTAACGAAGGAACTCATTGAAAGAAGAGCAAGACGGAGCGGCGATGGGTCTAAATTTAATTTTGAGAATCATCACAATAATAACGATGTTTGGGGCTGGGGAGATTTCGATATGAAAACTGAAGACATTGAGGAAGTAAAAAAATACAACAAATTAGTAGAGTTTTAAGACACTATCGGATTTATTTATTACTTTTTTTGTATTGGTATCAGCCTTAAGTCGAAGATATTCACTAAATATTAATATCTAATTATGTGTCGTATAATATATACTTTTATTATGTTCATAAATTTGTGAATTTGAAATTGATTTCTAACGTATTCCCCGTTTTTCTTTGTTTTTAATTTTTGTTATTTTTTGTAAATAAATATTGTTTGTTTTCTAAACTAAACCAAAACTAAAAAGTCTTTCTGTAAATTCGTGTGGTGGTCTAGAAAAATTCTCGCCAAGAACAACGAAGGGAACTACCTTCCATACTTATATAGGTATAATTTTTTTCAATTCTACAAAACGCCGGTCGCACTAGAGAAATTATGTTTCTTTTTTTTAATTAGAAACTGATACATTACGGTCCATGGGGATGCTGCTGAACATGCTCATCCCTTACATAATAACGAGTTTTAACGAGAAGTTCTTGGAGCGTCGCTGTAGTCAACTTGTTGCTGAGACTGATTGAAATTCGCATTGTGTGCGGATGTTGACTGCAGACTGCAGAATGTTAGCAGTGTTAGTTAGGAAGGTTTTAAAATTCCTCAACGCTTGGCGCAATGGTTGTGGATTTGTTTCTTAAACATTTCCATTTTCAGGATCGAGCTTGCGAGAAATAAGATAAATAATTGAGACTTCGAATAATAATTGTTCGTACCGGCAAGTATCTGAAAATGGAGCAAATTGTTTTTACACCGAGTCCTTTGTACAGGGGTATAATGGATTTTAAATGGCTGAAAAATGAGCATATGAGGCTGATCATAGCATAGCGATAGCAAATGGCTTTCCAAGCGACTTGGTAATTTTCAAAGGTAAATGACTTGTACTGCATCGCCAACAAGACGCGACTTGAGATAACGTAGCCTTTGGATATCATCATTGCTTTGGTTTGAGTGTATGAGGCTATCGCTCAAAATTCCATGCAAACCCTTGAGTTTTCCTGAAAACTTAGGCATTGAAATCTTTGGAAGGTAACTTATCCATTCGTATACGAACTGCTGTTTGAGTTTGTTGGCGAAGTAATATTTGGCTCGCTAATTTTGAGCACTTAAGTAATACTCGGCTACGGAGAGCGAACTGAAGTAAACTAGGAAGTAAATGTCCTCGAATTGAGATTGATGTTCGGCTTCTCCTTCCTGATCAGTGATCATCAGTTAGATACAACATTTTTGATTGAACGTCTTTCAATTTCAAGCATTTTTGCTTGAGGCACAAGGTGAAGTTGGTTACCGTTAAATTGATACTTGATACTTTGGCATGTGCCTAGCGTACCCGCCTCTCCCAGAATTTTTTTTGCCACTGTCCTGGGCCGCGACATATGCCAAAGAATGTGGTGGATTTTGTGGATTGGAGAAGTTATGGGGGCCGGCTAACTGCGTGTTGTCTGACCCAAAATGGTACGGCCACAGCTTCGCCACCGATATAACTGCATTGGAGGGAACTCTGCTTCCTGCTTATAGCCTCTCCCTCTTCGTTCCATTAGTTACCGATGCTTCCATCGATTGATCTTAATTCTTTCTTCCTTATTGTTGTCTTTGTATTGCTTTCTTTCTTCATTTTGTGTTTGTCTCTGCTCCAATCTTCCCGTCCCTCTATGGGAACCCTCGAGGCCGCCACCATTTGGTCTATAGTGGTGTTCCATGGGCCCGGCTTACTGCCCATTCCGAGACACGTAGATTCTTGACCACCTACAGGATATGGCCTTTGTTCCTCCTGTTTATGTCCCCAAAATCTCTGCCTCATCTTCAGTCTCCTGGTGATCGTCTTTCCTTCTAGTAGTTCCTTTATCTTCTTTCTTGTGAGGTTGCTGTTTTCCATCAGTATCCTTAGTGCCCTCCGTTCCATCCTCCTCATTGTTTGTCTGTTACTCTTTGTTAGCACTGAGGTGTTAACAAGATTGTCGCTGCTATGATCGTGTCATTTTCAAGCTGTCCAGTATTTTCTTCCTTCTCTCATATGAAGTTCCGGAATCCGTGTGTAACCCAGAAATTTAATCTTGTGATTCATCCCCCTCCCGGCTATTGTGATCTTTCCTCCTTCCTTGTATTGGGTATTTCTTCCTGGGGCTCTTATGATCATGTAGGTGTTCTCGTTGTTTATTCGTAGGCCTACCATCTCAAGGTATATCTCGCTGGTGAGAGGGGACATCCTTGATTGATTCGTCTTGTTTTCATTAGATGTTTGGTCTTCTTCCCAAACCATTGTATACTAGTATAATCCCTTAGGCACGCGTTTATAATTCGTTAAGCCATCCTAATAATGACTATTGCTTCATGATTCTTGTATAATTGTCTGTTTCTTGCGGTGACCTGAGTTTTTGGATGCGGATCTGCACTGTCTCTTGCCATTCCTTGGGGACCAAGTGCATGGTTTATATCTCCTGAATTCATTCGTGTAGATCTTTTATTGGCCATTCTGATGCGTATTGTAGTAATTCGGCCTGGACCATATCCTGCCCTGGCATTTCCCCTTTTTCAGTCTTCCTAATATTATCTCCATCATTTCTTCCAGCGTGGGTGGTGGTGGTAGTGGCCAGTAATCGTTCTCCTCCAATAGCTGGACCTGTGCTTCTTGTTCCTTCTTCAGAAGCTTCTCCCATGCTGTCATTAGTGCATATTTTTTGATTCCTCCTTGTTTCCTCCTTCTGTTTTCCTATGTACTTTTCATTCCTCTCAATTAGCTCCTTCTTTGCTTCGGGTTTGTGTGGGTTTTGCCCAAACCTCTTCTGTGCTCTTCTATGGTTGCCCATGGCTTGCTTCCTGTTCGGTGACATGGGCGGTTTATGCCGCTCTAGTGTTTTCCCTGAGAACAATGTCTGAACGATAAAATAATACTAATAATAATAATAATAATAGTGTTTATTGTGTAAGAGTAATTCTAATAAATTACACACATTCGTCTTAAAAAAAGTACATCATGTCTTAAACAGTAACACAAATATAACTTCTAGACATTAAATATAAACTCAATAATAATAATTAATCTAGGCTTTAATTGGACACGTCCCCTAATGAGAGAATCCATAGCGGATTATGAAACGAAATTGGCAGTATTAAAAGCGAAAAACAAAGAAGGGAAACGTAACAACGTATAGCGAATATAACGAATAAAGATGCACACCAATTGAGGCCATCCGTCCTTGTGCTATCGAAACGAACAAATTAAAAAGATTAGCTTACGTTACCTATTTGATAACTTAATCCAAAGATTTCTTAACTTGAAACAAGGGGAACAAAATGGATGACAAAATACGACAATTTAAATTATAGGTACAGCTCTGTAAACATATAGGACACAAAAGGCAGGTCGCAAGCGAAAGATATTTTTAAGCGATGCAGATGGACGGTAACTTACTTGGAAGGCTTGTTGTTTTCTTATACATTGATAATATAATTGATTCATGATAGACGCCACAGTTTTAATTTTTCTTGCTTCCGTCCATATCTGGCAAACTATTGCATTCGACATCGAAAGACCATGTTTATAAGGGTGATGAAGGTTGGTGACATGTAGGTAAATAACCGATTCGATTTCAGCCCGAACCGAATTATTGCCTATTTGTGGCAATAATTCTTCCTGTTTAGTGGTTATGGAAAACGCCGATTTTTACGATAGAACTATTAATTTTAACAACATTGTACAATTTTTTTTTATGCATTTCGTACGTGTAACCATGGCCTAATAAGCGTGTAACCGCGTTGCTTGCTTCAAACTCAAAGCTTAGAAGAAGGAATGGCACATAGAAAAATACATTACCTTTAAAAAGTATCAAACATCCTTCACACATGGGATGCGGGAAACAAGATATGCGATTACTGCAATCTAATAATAGAGTTTGTTACTGAACTTAACAGCCCCATAGACCATTTTTGCAAATAACTTGAAAAGTAAAAAAGATAGGTAATTCGGGATTGCTTTACCTATAACTGCAAGAAACAATGTAAAAAAGCGGCATTGCATTCTAATAACATTACCAATATAATTTCAGGAGAACGTTAAGATGGGGGTCTTTTTTGACCCCATCCGGTATTAGGAAGGAAGTAAGGAGTGAATATTTTGAGGAAAGGAAATGAAATCTTGAAAAAAAGACTTTGACACAGTTCGTAGACATCTTTAAGTAATGATCTTATATATCCCACCTTCATTTTAAAAAAATGAGTTTGTTGGCTTTATTAAATTAAATTAAATTAAATTTCCTTTATTGCCCAACAGAACAACAAACATTCCAACTACAGGACAATCTGAAGTTACAAATATTAGAGTGTGCACAAATGTAATAATATCTTGAATCTTAATGTACCTTAATGTTAAATTACAAAATAACCAAAAACAAAACAGAACAAATTTATGTATACTTATTATATATTATTTGTGTTCAGAAACAATGACGCTCAGTTAGTTAAAAATGGGGAGTACGGCGAGTATCTTTTAAGTTTAAATGAAAGTGTGGATCGTAAAACCCTGAGAGAAATACAATAAAACAAACACCTTTATACTATAAGGGTTCAATTCCTTGAACTGGCCGTCAACCCTAGACCTGCGAACAAACAACTCTGAGGCCCTGAGTACTTCATATCCAGCAAAATGAAAAAAACAAATTACTTGTTAATCACGCTGGATGTTATGAGATGATTATCGCATCCCATATAGTATTTTTGAACACAACTTCAATGATCCAAACCCAACCTTTTCCCCTGGCAAGTCAAAAATTGTAAAGCATCAATTCGCGATATCAATCATATCAATGGGGTTAAAAAGGTCAACTGTAGATTAAATTCCATGCAATTAAAAACTAAACATTAATAGATGTAGATATAGCATAAGAGAACTTGCTCTATGATTTAGATTAGTGTAGTTGAAGAATTTGACTGCTTTGATAAAATTACATGTAAATTAGTGCTAGTTAGCCATTACGTGACGTTCAAATAGAACAGGATTAAATTGTACCATTTCTTTACCATTTTGTTATTTACATATAAGTAAATTGTTACAGAAGAAATATGTCCACTAATATTGTAACCTCACACTTGGAGACTGATGTAACGGCAGAGGGCAAAGAAGGTCCCATTTCCAAATCAACTTACAAATGGAAACTCGTATGGTCACACGTATTCATTATGGTATTCATATATGCTGGTGGGTTATATGGATTGTATCTATTTCTTTTTTATTGTTCATGGAAAACGTGCCTCTGGAGTAAGTGATAATTTATCTTTTAGTATAGTATCGAAACGTTAAGCGTAAACCGTACGGTAATGTTTTATATTTTTATGTCATATGCAGATGACTAAAAGAGAAGGTAATGATAATCATCATAATTAAGTTATCCATAGGTAAAGGTATCTATAGATATTTTACTTGTCAAACATTTTCAAAAATGTGTGCGAAATGGCAGACAAAGCTCGTAATTTACCTATTACCCGCAAATGTTCTAGCGAGAGCTGCGAAAGCAAACGAAGCAATCGCACCAAAGAAATCGAAATCCTGTATTTCATGTTCGTACATATTCATTATTTCATATTTGTGGGATTTACAAGAATAACGCCCGTTGCTATGTATAATTGGGTCGTCATGGTGGAGTGTATTATTTGCCCATTACGGTTATTAAGAGTGAATATTGAATAGTAATGATCAAGTATGACATAAAACGTTGAAGGCACCACGGGTGTTATGAACACAACACCCACGGTCAACGTGATCAATTACGTGTAATGTGAACATTGCACTATCCTCATTTGCATTTTAAAAACATTGTAATCAATTAAAGGACACTTTATGGACACAGAAAAAATTAATCAAAAGTATGAAATATTTTATTTTTTGGATCTTTGTAATTCCGTGGGACAATCGATTTTTTTTTGTAACTTTTGAATACTCTTTGATCCAGTTAACTGCATCTTCCTCGCAAAATTCTGGTCTAAATTTGGTTCCCAGTTCTACATTTTTCTTTCCGTCTCACACTTGTACCATTTGTGTCCTCACACATGGCAAATTAAAAATGACTAATTCGAAAGTAAATACTAGCAAAGCTGTTAGAGGATCGGATCAAGTGATCAACGAGATAACGATCCACGGGTAATACGTTTAATAAACCTTAAGTATACGTTACATACATAATACTAACTGGGATAGACTTAGACTACCGACGTACGCTACTCGCACCCTACTGAGTTCGATAAGTGTCAGTCGCGAACTCACTACACTAACATAGTTCGAAACTTTAAACGAGATTTAACATCACCGTACACTCCCGGTGGCGAGGTCCTGGCAATGGTTTCGTAAAAATGTCAGCCACCATGTCACGCGACGCGAGGTGTTCGACCTTGAACGTTCCATTCTGCATCGCTTCTTTGATAAAATGGTAGCTAATGTCGATGTGTTTCGTCCGAGCGTGAAACATCGGGTTCTTCGACAGCTTGATGGCTCCCATGTTGCCTTCGTACACAACGATTTGAAGTAGGATGCAGCCTTGGCAGCCACTGACATTCCCATGTACTCCGCCTCAGTCGAGGATAGGGCCACGGTCCTCTGCTTTCTTGATTCCCATGCTATCGGGGTTCGACCCATCATAAAAACATATCCTGAGTATGACTTCCTGTCGATGTGACAATTTCCCCAGTCAGCATCAACGTATCCAACCAATGGAGAAGTTTCCCTTCGGAACTGTAGTCCTAGGTCTCTCGTTCCCTTCAGGTATCTCAATACCCTTTTAGCGGCGATCCAATGATTTTGCCCATAGCAGTTGCTAAATTGTCCTAGGTAACTGACGGCATAAGATATGTCCGGCCTGGTACAAGTTGAAAGGTAGGTAAGCGCCCCTAATAGCTCTCGGAACGGAATTTTCTGATCGGGGTCCAGCTTGGTACCCAAATCCAATGGCGTACAAACCGTATTTGCCTCGATCATTCCAAATCGATTCAGAAGTTCGTTGATGTATCCAGTCTGCTTAGCGTGAAAACCTTCCGCGCCTCTCGAAAATTCGATTCCTACGCAATACTTGATTGGCCCCAGATCTTTCGTCTCAAACTTCTCGGATAGATGCGAAGCCAGTCCTCTAATGATACAGCTATTCTTCGACGCAACGATTATATCGTCAACATAAACGGCGATTAGCGTAAGCTCCTCTCCTGAGCCTATGCTGTACAGGCACGGATCTGCCTTGGTTGGATTGGCTCCAAAATTCTTCAATACCTCGTCAAGCTTAGCGTGCCAGCTTCTTCCCGCTTGACGCAATCCATATAACGACTTACGAAGTTTGCAGATCATGTCGCCCCGTTTCAGCAATTGCAGCATTTTTCTCGCCTTGACATGTAATTCGCCCCGCTCGTCCCGTATGATGATCTTCGAGATTTCTTCTAAATGTCTCGAAGGGTTCATCATGATTTCCTCCTGCAATTCACCGTTGAGGTAAGCACATGTAATGTCGAATTGCCTAACCTCCATGTTTAATTGCGTAGCTAAGGACATCAGTATCCTTACCGTTCCTATCCTTGCCACTGGAGCGAAAGTCTCTTTGAAATGAGTTCCCGGTCGTTGGCCAAATTCCTGCGCAACTAACCTCGCTGTCCTCCTAAGCAGTGTTCCATCCGAAGAATACTTATTCCGCAGAACTATTCTGCTTCCGATTACTTCCTGATTTGGTGGACGCTCTACGAGCTCCCAAGTATTATTGATTTCATCTCGTCGGCCATTGCTTGGAACCATTCTTCTCTTTCTGAGAATTAAGTGCCTCCTTCATCGGACTCTCGGAGATGTTGGCCTCCTCAGGTTCGTCTGGACACTCAGCGGCTCCGAGTACTTCCATTGGTGCAAGTACTTGCCTATACTCCTTCTTAGGTCTTCCCCTCGATCCAGTTCTAACAATACTTGGTCTTCCCGGGAGATTCCTAACCCGTGATCTGATTCCAGCTGCGTCTTCTTCAACATTGCCTTCAAGATCGCTGGCTTTCCCGATTTCCACCTCTATGAATTGAGCAGGTAAATCGTCGTCGGATGATTCCCCTCTGATGAGATCGTTTGCAGTAACGTCGACGTTCTCGTCGCTGACAACCTCAGCTTCCTCGAAAAATTTGACGTCGCGCGTAATCTCAACCTTCCTCTCATCTGGGATCCAAACGCGGTACCCTTTACATTCTTCAGAGTAACCCAAAAAATTCTATCCTTCGTGCGTGACTCGAATTTTCCTCTTCTTGGATCGCGGTTTAAACACAATACCTTGCAACCGAATTGGCGAAAAAACTGACGTCCGGCTTCCTTTTAGTCCACATTTCATACGGAGTTTTACCTCCTAGACTCTTTGACGGGCATCTGTTTCGAATATAATTCGCGGTATTGACGGCTTCCGCCTAAAATTGCGGGGGCAGTCCCGACTGGATTAACAAGCAACGTGCAGTATCGAGTATCGTCCTATTCTTCCATTCGGCGATCCCGTTCTGTTCAGGATTATAAGGAAACGCCGAGAAATTCCCGATTCGGGTAAAAATTTGTCGAAAACGCCGCTGGTATATTCGGTTCCATTATCGGTTTGAAAATATTTCACCTTACGGTTTTGTTTATTTTCAAACGAAATGAGTACCTCCTTCGTGACCTCATACACTTCACAGACAAACCAAGTTAATTTAGTGAACACTAGCCATCCAGTAGAAGGACACGTGCAAATAGCGTGATTGCAAAATTCATTACGGATTGCTGTTATCGGGCAGCAAATCACGAAATCGGATAGGATATGTAAAAACGTTCACTGCTTCCATATCCTACACGCGTTCGTGCAACCGATCACTATTTTGTATAGAGAACGGAAATTTGCCCTCGAGCCGGAGGCCCTCGGGTTCAACACCGTTAACTTGGGGGTTGTTAGTTAACAACGCCCTTGATACCTTGATAACTATAATGGAGATTTTATTGGTACCAGTGTCAGATAGGTCATTAACGATCCTCGAGATCGTTTATATTTTTGTCCGTCTGTCCGTGTGCACGAGAACTTTGTTTAGAAACGTCGAATTGCTTTGAAAATAGGTATCCATGGTCTTAAGGATATAAGAAAGGTCGCTATTGTTTTTCAGCTACGTAGACTAACGGGTCAAAAACTTACAGCCCAAAAACTTCCCGAACCTCCAAAAGAGCGTATCTCGAGAGAGATATCTTTTATAATTCTTGTTACAAAGGACATATGGTCAGTAAATATTCGTTAAACCTCAAGCAACTATGCAGATGCAAAAAAATATTGCCCTAGCGCATTCCAACTTTTGTATTTGCGCAATCCATTTTTTTATTTGTTAAGATATTTAAATGAAATTTTATATGTAGGTACCTCGAGTAAAGGTAAAACTAACGCCAAATCAAAAAGCTGTTTTGCGCATGTGCAATCCTGTTTTTTGTTTGTTAAGATATTTGACCCAGATTTTGTACGTAGGCACGTCGAATGAAAGTAAAACTGATGCCGATTTTGTTGATAGTCTTTTAGAGCGTGGTACTTGACATGAGAAATATTCGACATTTACTACGCTTAACATATGCGAGTGCCATGGCATGAGCAAGTTCTCTAATTTGTACAACCATGTTTTAGCCTACATATATGGAACCATATCCCTTCAAGGTGTTACAGCAGGAACACATCGATTGTGGTCGCATAGATCGTATAAAGCAAAGTTGCCATTAAGGATAATTTTAATGATCTGTCAATCGATCGCATTCCAAGGTCACATTTACAGTTGGGCAAGAAATCATAGAGCACATCATAAATTCTCAGATACGGATGCCGATCCTCACAACGCGAAGCGTGGTTTCTTTTTTTCTCACGTTGGATGGCTGCTGGTCGTCAAACATGAAGATTTTATAAACAAAAGAAAGACAATATTTGTGGATGATTTAGAGTCGGACGCAGTTGTTCAATTCCAAAGAAAGTAGGTGGATAATTCTAACTGGTCTATATCAAAATGCCCAAAGAACATAACACTCAATTTGATATAAACCCTAACTTAGTGTTTTAAGCTTCACACGTAACATGACCACAATACCCACTTTTCGATGACACCAACACAAAATTTTAAGGGTGACCACCACACTCAACTATAACTCTCGCCAGGATAGATTGCCGGTCACAGCACACCTTCTGTCGATTTACAATCTATGTTTTTCTTAAGATGCGAGCGACTTCCGGAATAGGATCGTGCCAATGTTGAACGAAAAGTCTTTTTGTTCAACATTGACACGATACTACCCCGGAAGTTGCTCACACGTTTGGAAAAACATGGATTGTAGATCGGGATCAAGTGTTCTATGACCGGCAATCTTTCCTGGCGAGAGGTTTAAATAGTACATTATATATCAAGGTAGAGAAGTACAGTATTATTGCCTGAGCACCAAGATTACATCTCGAGGCGCTTGCGTGGTATATATACTATTTTTTTCACTACTAGCACTTGAAGTCCTCTAAATTAACATATTATATTGATAAGAAAGTGAACAGTTGAACAGAATTTTGTGTTTATTAATTTAACATGTGAATCAAGTACGTGGAAGTAAAAGTCAAACAGGCCGTATTTTGTTCTGTCATTGAGATATTTTCAAAGAGTAATTTCGTTCGAATTTTTTCAAAATGTGATAATTTTAGGTATGTAATTCCTCTGAAAATGACGGATGGTGGCAATTATTCATTTTAGAGAACTTGTCTAAACGTTTATTGAGCGAAATTTGGGGTTGTGTTTTCTAAAAGTGACAGCGTGACAGTTCTCATTATTGACTACTAGTTAATAATGTACACATTATTAACCACTTTGAACAAATGCCTACTTTACAAGTGGAAAAAAGGTTAATAATCATGTCATCAGACGCTAGTAGTGAAAAAAAATTATTACTACCCATTAGTTACTAGTATTTTTTGTTGTATGAAAATAATAGGTATGCAAATATTGATCATTCGTTGAAGAGCGATGTATTATTAGTCCTTTTTAACTGAAGGCATTGCGGCTGGATGCACCGCACCGCTTAATCCGATGGCATTTCGTCACAAGGACGAATGTTACACCCATTTTACCCATTTGACTCGACTACATCCAATTTTCTAGATCTTCTATTTTTTCAAATGAGGGGTACGTTTTAGATATTTTATTTTATTTAAAACAAGCGATTCCTTGCACGTTTAAAATTTCGCGATCTATAGCCCTTCCCAGGCATCCTATGTACCTACTATTTTTATCACCATCCAATTAACAACTAACTAGATTACCGCATTTTATTTGGAAAAAATATCCTAAATACGTCCAGTTAGGACAGACGTCTTTGGGTGTAGTGCTTAGTATGCCTGTTATGGTTATGTTTATTGGGTGTTGTGACCAGATCTCATTCAAACTAAAGAGTGACTCGCAACCCCTATTGAACCGTGCGCAGAAATAATTCAATAAGTTTAATGCACAACCTGTTTTCCTTACAGGCACTATTTCTTTTTGGTCATCCTTCTATGTTACATAATACCGACTATTGTACCTTGGTATTTCTGGAACGAATCGCTTTCTATATCATGGTACACAGCAGCGATGTTCAGACACTGCGTTTCCCTAAACGCCATATACTGTGTGAATAGCATTGCACATCTGTTTGGTACAAAACCGTACGACAAGTAAGTGCCACACTTATAGTGAATAGTGAAGGAGATACAATTATAATTAATTATGTTTAAGGAAAATAGGTGCTGTTGAAAATTCCCTTATATCAGTGGTCACGAATGGAGAAGGATGGCATAATTACCATCACGTATTTCCGTGGGATTATAAAACATCCGAGTTCGGAAATTCTCGCCTCAACCAAACTACAATGTTTATCAACTTTTTTGCGAAAATTGGATGGGCTTACGATCTAAAAACGGTGGCGAAGGAACTAATTGAAAGAAAAGCAATACGGAGCGGCGATGGATCTAAATTTAATTTTGAGAATCAACACAATAGTAAGGCTGTTTGGGGCTGGGGAGATTCCGAAATGAAAACCGAAGACATTGAGGAAGTAAAAAAGTACAATAAATTAATAGAGTTTTAACACTATCTTATCATTTATTATTTTTCTTTGTTTTTAATTTTAGTTATAACTGTTAAATAATGTTTGTTCGCTAAATTACCAAAAGTAAAAGGTCTTTCTGTAAATTCATGCGGCACTCGAGAAAAATTCGCGCTAAGAACAACGGAGTAGTATTTCCATATTTCCCTACGTATGTAATACCACAGATCACGGTATATCTGTGGTAATACGATACCTCATGAATTTACAAAACGGTTAACTACACTAACAAACAAAAGTGTTTTTTTTTAAATCCTCCTTACTAATAACTAAAACATCACAGTCCCTGACGATTCTTCTGCACATACCATAAGAGGACCGAGGGCCTTAATGCAGCTATATCGTTTCATTTCCAATTTCGTTGGTTTTGCATTTAGTTATGAAGAAGGTTAACAATTTTTTAAAACTGTTTTCATTCTATCAAAATTCCTTAAGAAAATTGTTTAGGAAAATATCATCACTAGCGCCGGATTTTTTAGCTAAACCATAGAGGACCTCTATGGCTAAACTAAGCGGAATACAACTTATGTATTTTAGATGCATATTGACAACTATAACAGTACTTTGAAGTTTGAAGGCTTCTAACCCCAAATCTTTTATTATATTTACTTTTTTATTTATTTACCTATTCATTATTCCTCTCTTTTTCTGGGCGCTCAACAGGTTTGCGCCCAATTACAAAGTGACCCGCATAATGCTTTTTAGAGATGCCCCTGCAGAAGGTCTTAAATTGTTTTATACTACTCCGGTATTTACCTTACGAACTAGGAAAACTGCAGGAAAACCTAATTCGGAATAGCCAGCAAAATGCTCGAAATTGGTCTAAGGAAATTGCCATCTCTGTCACAGTTGGTCTAATAATGTTACACCGTTTTGATTTTTATTTTGTTTCTTTCTGCCAAGTTTTCGAGACACCACGAAAACGAATATTCATATTAACAAGTATAAATTGTACACAACTCTTGTGCAGATAAAGCACTTTTTTTTAACAAAATAGCTAGAGGTAAGCTATTGGGTTATAAATACGATAGCAGCGTGCTATATTTATAGATGTTGACCTTCTTGGTAGATGATTAATGAGCTCTTTACACATAAAAATTTAACGGTCGCCTGGTAAACATGTACAATATACGCCCTATAATCCAACAAGAATCAAGCCGACAATCCAACAGCCAATTTTCGAGATATCCACATTCAAATTTTTACATTGGAAGTAGATATGTCTTGTCTAGACGTTCCATTCGCCTTTTGAGTGTACCTTCCTCCGACACTGTTCTGCAGACATTTGCACTGAACGTTTTGTACGTCTTATCCATACGTTCCATCTTGCCCTTTATGAGTACGCTCTTCCGACACGTCGTGATCGAGATATTCGTTTCGACCTAACCAATAGATATAATATTAGATATACTATTACATGATATAATGAAAAAGATGACTTATATGCATTTACAAATAGCTAATACAACAAATTTGAGATGAATGTATTTTGGACGGTACATATTAAATACTAGTTGCATTTTGTTATTGTCATTTTTTTTGTTTTAACATTCTTTATAATGTATTGATATTTCTTTGTGTGAATTAGGTTTTCTTGTAGTTTTCCTAGTTCGTAAGGTAAACATCGAGGTAGTATAGAACAACAGCAGGGGCACCTCTAAAAAGCATTATGCGGGTCACTCTGTAATTGAGCGAAAGCTTGTTGAGGGCCCAGAACAACAGTGGAACAATAAATAAATAGTTTCCCTAAGTTGACTATTGGACCATTGGAATTTCAGCTCCGTTACGTAATGATTTTTGATTTTCGCCTTCCTGCATTTTGCTTTCCCGTAAACGGCACTACCGAATCCGATTATTTACTGTTCCCGCTTAAGGAAATTGCTGTGCGCTTTAATTTTGTTTCAGCATTCACTAGTAGCCAGTCGCCGCTTGCCCTCCGTTTGAGTTTTTCCGATTCTCTGTATTTGGCATAAGAAATGTAGGTATGGTTTATCACCATGACTGTTATGAATCTTCCGCTTTTTAAGTTTAGTTTCCCTTTATCGTCGTGTATAAAACAAAACTTTATTGTATAGCAGAAGCCATATAAATCATTGTAAAGCTTCTGACAATTCTGAATTTAATTTAGAGACGTCAAAAGGTTCTGCCGTCGCGATCGTTGCTATAGATGTTCTGGACGTCATTTTATATCGTGCATTTGAAATGAGAATGACAGATGTCATTAGAATGCACACTCATCTGTTTCACATTATCTACCCTTGCTGTTAAAGTGATCACTTTATCTATCCTTACGGTTAAAGAACGGCTTAGCCTACTCATTCAAACTTGTTACAATGTAATTTTAACATACCCTACAAAATATTTTTAACTTGCCAGTATTTTTGTTCGCACGTGCGTGTTTTTTTGGAGATTTTCATAGTAGTATCTAAACATACCTACGATCTTATCGACGGCTCTACGTTCTGCTAGAAAGAGAAAACTACAGTGAACTACTACTAGAACTAAATTTAGGCTTACTTCCTCGATACCCTTTTGTTTTTTTTCACGTTCTTCAGATTCTTCAAAATCCATTATTCTTCGGAATTTTTTCTACTTTAATTTAAGATGCTTCAACTTTTCCAATTCTTTGGATCCCTCAAGTCCGGATTATGCAGATAAACTCCTTTCATCAGTGTTTCACCATTGCTATATTTCTTTAGATTCTTGATGTTTTCGAATTCTGTTTCTGCGAATCCTGATTTCTCCGTTTCCTCCGATCCTTCGCAGCATTGTAACGTTTCCGTTTTGTTAAGATTTAAATTTAACTCAAATTCCCGCTAAAATAGCCTTTATTTATTTATTATTTAAATTCAACATAACCCGCAACAACAAAATTTGATTTCCCATTTTCATATTATTTAAATTCCTGACAATTCTTCGAATCATTTTTTTTATTCATCTGGTTTTTCAATTCTACGGACTATTTAAATTCATCGTGTGCTGATGTACGTGTGTTTCAATTATCCTTTGCCGACTCTTCTGATTTCATAAAATCCTTTAGATTTTAAGCTCGTTCAGATTTTTCCTTTTTGTGATTTTTTCCGATATTTCGAATCCTTTGACGTAATGTAATTTTTTTGATCTTTTAGATTGTTTAAATTTATTGAATTCTTTTGTCTCTTCGGATGTTCTAAACGCTTTAGATTCTTCCGTTTCTTAAAAATTTTTCGAGTAGCCGATTTTTAGCACATAAATGCATGAGAGGTTCGCAGTCCTAAAAGTGTCACTTATCTTTATATTTTGCTTCTAAATTTTTAAAGGTTGAGACAAGCGTATAATAGGCAGCACATATTCTGCGTCAAGATGTGAGAATAGAGAAGCGAGCTTATTTAATTCGGAAAGGAAAACAAAAAATCCATTAGGTGAAGAATAATTATCCTTTTTGAACTCTTGAAGTGACAAATTAAGTATTTCATGTGAATTTTTTAAGAAATCCATAGTCGAGGAGTAATTCGCCATAAATAATTGGATAGGAAAGACGGCTTTCATGAAACTTGGATTTCTTCGGTGTGGAATGTGAATGAATGTCCTGGTATCTCATACTTCTGTGCAATCTTCTTGTAATGCCTCCAATTTTTTTTTCGATAAATAAAACTTCTACGTCAAGTATGTTTTTCAATTGTTCAATATACAGGTGACAGTAAAAAGGAAGGTATTTTGTTTTCTATGGACAAATCTTCGATAAAATTAGAAATTTGGAAATTGCGCTGGCCCAAAGGACGATAATCTGGCACTGACACCAAAATGCATTAGATCCCAATTAAAAGGTTGGTCCACTTTTTTTTCACTGAAAAAAAAACTATCCGTAATTTATTTCTTGTAGTCTATCTAGCAGTTTATAAATTCTAACAATTCTTATAATTACTGAATTTTAATTGTAACATCAGGTACATTTTGTTATAACAATCACTTAAACTAATAAACTTATCTATTATGATACATTATTGGAACATTATTGCTAAACTTTAATGAATCCTTATTATACCCATGATTGATATAGAATAGATGTTCACGGTTGTTATTGTCAAATATGTAGCTACGCAGAAATGAAAAAACCGCCGAAGAAAAGGCTATTTGATTCAAAAGTCCTACAACCATTACAATTATTTTTAAATTAGGAATAATCCACGGGAGAATTCCGGCTAGTAAAAGTCCCGGTACTATTAAGAAAGGTAAAATTTGCTTACTCTCATCGTCTATCTTTAATTTACGCTCTACAATCACTTTATTCATATATTCTAAGTTATCGTCTTTATCACTATTCAGATCCAAATCATTAAACAATTTGTGAAGATATCGCACGTTAGAATCCTGAAGAAACCCTTTCACTCTCGATAACCAAGGAAGATCTAATCCACTTTTGGCAACCAAACCCTGTGGGTCACAGTCATTATTTAATTTGTAACTTTGCACTGCGTTCAACTGTAGGAATAGTACGAAACACAATTCGCGAGAAGTCATTATTGTGAATGCCGTCGAATTGAGTATCCAGTTTTAAAGAAACGGTGTGCTACTTTAACATTTTGCGCTTCGTTTGGATTCGCTCGATTATTCAAAAATGCGGTACAATCACCTCCGGCCTGCAATACGTAATTGAATAGAAACAAAGCTACTAAATTAACATTTTTTAGTGGGCACCCATGGCAGATGCTCAGACTGATTTTACCGTTTATACAGGTGCAGGTAGGAAGTAATCTACTGGCGAGATTATGTAAAATGACTCTCTTACATGCGGTGAAATGTAAAACAGAAGTGATGAGTGTGAAATGAAGTAGAGCAAATCTTCTAAATGCACACAGATCTTAACATAAACAAATTACACTTAACATTATTACCTATAAATGACAAATGAGTAAATGCCTATATTATATTACATATGCGGAAAATTCGCGCCCGAACAATTCGCATCGGAAAAATTGGCACCCTGAGTACCTTTCTCTCTCGGATAATTCGCACCTTAAAAATGCACACTAATTCGCACCCAGAGATTTCCGTCTCCGAATATGTTGTGGCCTAAAAATTTGATACCAGACAATTCGCACCAGGGCATTTTGTGTTCTACTATATTTAGCACCCTGATCAACTGGCACTCTGGACATTTCGCTCACGAATAATTAGCACCCAGACAATTTCGCACTATAAATATACCTACCTACAGAGCCCCGTAATTTACAACGAAATAATTCGAATAGGCGATGTTTACCAACTGAACATTTTGATGTGGTCAAAAGCTTGGAGCCCAATTGTGCACTGACAATGACCGTCGGCTAAAACGTTTCTGATTAGCAGTGACGTGGTGTATTCCAGTAGCGTATTAGAATTACGTTATTTTTATTGCAGGTTTGCAAAGTACTCGAACCTAGACTCGAACAGTACCTATTGTTTTATGTAACATATTAATTGGCGTTTCGACTTCTCCATTTCCCGTAGGGATTAAAAAGCAATGAAGAACGACAAGTGACAATATATACCGAGAGCATTTATTTGAGTTAAATTTTTTGCGATTTTTCCAATCGAATTATACGGAAGTAAAATTTCTAAGTTGAAAAAGATTCAAGGTTTCAAGAACATTCCCCCAACAAATCTTATTCGTGATAAGTTCAAGTTTTTATTATGTCGATTGAAATAACAGCGAGCTTTCATAATATTCCCACGTTTATCAATGGGGTATTTGTCTCCTCGTTGTCTGGCTACGGTTTTGAATTACACGCTGGAAATTGATCGTGTTATGTTAGTTTTACAATTCATCAAATTAAATAAAGCTTCATAAAACATAAACTAACACTGCAGAATTCGAAAGTCAGATACAGCTCTGCAAGCCGGTTGAACCAACGAAAATTAATAAAATACCGCCCCTATAACTCAGGAAAAGATCCAGATTCGAAGGTTACCTGTTAGCTGGTTAAAAGTACGGCCCATATTAGCGTTCGGGTAACCGAGCTCACAAGGCGGCCCAAATAAATTCTTAGCGATCTGGTGGTCAAGTTAGAAAGTTGTGAAAAATTTGCGTTTGTCATTCGAGTGTAAAAAGTACGGTGCATACAAGTGCAGACAAGTTGTTGCTTTCATGATTCATTTTAAATGGCCATACAAGTTTCGAATCCGTATATTAGACAATGAGTGCCAAGTCACCAGAATAGAGTTTGTTGAAAAATTACGCCAAGAGATATTTGTCTACTTAACTGTACGAGTCCGAAAAGCTCGCAATCGTGCAGTATCCGTTCAATAAAAAGACATCGTTCAATTATAAACAAGCGTGTTAGCAAGCAAATTCCTTGGGAAACTTTACCTCGTATTTGTGTAGCTTAACAAAATAAAGACGAGGTGAAATTGACTCATTCGGTGCACGGAATTACAACAAAGAAAACTGTCTGTAATAGTTATTTACATATGAGTATGGTAAATCAAGGTTTACGTTAACGAGTCAGATGTTTACTGCCGAAGCGTAGCTGAGGCAGGAATTTCGAAACGAGTAACGTTAATTGATTTAACATACAAATAATGTAAAACATTTTATTTCATATTGCTCATTCTTTTATTAAAATGCCATACAATTTTTGATTAGAATGTTGTACGCATTTAAATGAAAGCAAAAGTCGATCACTTGATTTGTTTGATCTGACACTAGTTTGACACATTAATATATAGGTTTATATGGATGTCAGTTGATGTTGCCAGGCAACATTTCCAGTCTGGTAAAAATTTTCAGTCTGGTAAAATACGATTTACCAGACTCAAATGGATCTGGGAAAGCGGCGATTACTAGATAGTATGACATAAAATCAACTAAAAGTAAAGTTCATTATTAGATTCGCTGATATAATAGGCACTTTAGTGCAACCGCTTATCTAAGACATTTCTCCAAATAACGGTAAGGTAACGGTATGCAAGTTAACATAAATGTGAGTGCGTAAGCAAACTGAAGTTTTTTGGACCAAGTTTCATTTACCAGCAAATAAACCAACATTAGGAGCAGGTTTGTATTGTCCATTCGATCTTCAAATTCTACCCAGAGGATTGTCGTCGGGAAATTTTCCACACGGGCGGGTTTAAGAATCCAGGTCTTTAGCAACCATCTGATATCAACCCCATATTGAGTAAAAAAATGGTAGTAAATAAATAAATACGAGAAGATGGATCAACCCTAGGATCAACCACTGCATTATTGATATTAAAAAATCCAGAGCATCCAGAAAGAATTGTAAATAATGGTCAGTTTAATAGATTCCTTGGAGATCAGAGATAAATATTGCTGTGGCCCTTTAATTTCGGGCCATATACAACACTTCTCAAACCTAACTAGCTCTTTAATAAAATTTCTTTCGGTACACAACAGCACCCAAGCACAACAGAATAATTCAATTCTGACTTTAAGTTCCTGATTCCAAGCAAACGATGTTCAAGGTCAAAATCCTTACATTCCAAACGCTAATTTACCAAATTTTGTCGGGAACAAACAAAACTAAACGTAACTGAACATGAGATTTCTCTCTTCGTCGTTAAAGGGTTCAAATAAACACATGAGTTGCATTTTATTTATTTATTTATTTATTTATTTATTTATTTATTTATTTATTTATTTATTTATTTATTTATTTATTTATTTATTTATTTATTTATTTATTTATATATTTATTTATTTATTTATTTATTTATTTATTTATTTATTTATTTATTTATTTATTTATTTATTTATTTATTTATTTATTTATTTATTTATTTATTTTAAGACCATAAATGAACTTAAAACATGAAATCGAATTAACAAACTTGGACCCCAGCGTCCCAAAACCCCATTCTATACTTTTGACATCATTTTTTGACATTTTTTAAAGAGTAAAAATTTAAAAACCTAATGTCTACTATCAAGTGCTGATCGTTTTGTTGCGAATTTTGCTTGCAGCGAATTATCCAAGTGCGAATTGCCTTACAAGTGCATTATACAAGGTGAGTTTTTTTTCTCATTTTCACTATGGGGATCTCGTAGTGCTGATTAATTTTCCCATTCAAAGCTTATTATAGCTGTATAAACAGATATGACCAAAAACACCGAAAAATGTCATTTTTGACATTGCGCTGGCGTTCTTTTGTTTTCAAAGATATATGACAAATTGTAAGAAACCATTAGGAATTTTTCTCAGCATTCTGATGGTGCTAAATTAAGATTTTTATGATTTGTGGGTTTCGATAAATCACAACTGTCTCACTCAGTATTTCATTTGGGAATCAGACTTGAATTCTTGCTTGAAGTTTATAATGTGCTTCTAATGGTTTGTTAATATTATTTTCTTTGAAAATAAATGAACGCCAGCGCATTCTTAAATGACATCGATTTTTTGGTTACAACTTTACCATTTGTAAAGCTATACAGAAACTTTGGAGGAGAAAATTAATCAACGTAAAATTCTGAATAACTTTACCCATTTAATGGACTTTCTGTATCTTACGGTTTACGAGATCCTCATAGTGAAAATGAAGAATCCCGAATCCCGGTATTTCGGGATCCCGGTATTGCATTCCCTAGTTAAAGGATGTTTGGCCCTAAATAACCTGTTTGGGCATTGCTAGGCACACACTAATTTAAGCCTAAAATGAAGGAACCCATAAATGCGGAACAAGTTGTAGAAAATTTGCAATACAACAAAATATTTGCAAACATTTTTCACTTTAACCGTTTTTTGCAAGTTGTACATAATGCATAATCGAACTTGAATATCTACTAACCAATGATGACTTCAAAGCAGCACCAAGTCATGATAACCTCTATCACGAATTGACTTACTTCCAAAATCTACTTTGCACTACTTCGTAAAACAATTAATACATGCACGAAATTTGCAATTGATTTGCATATTATTAAATCTAGGTGAGAAATTTGGTAGTACCAGTATACTGCATGTCCACAATGCATATTTTTTTTGTTATAGAGGCAGTTAGTTTGGGGAATTAATTCAAGTTTAATTACTTATAAGATTTTGTTCATTTCTTTTCTGCATCAATTACACATCTTAGTTTTTCATGCAGAGATCATCTAAATTTGTTCAACGTATAGAAACCCGGTATACCCAAGGCATTGCTAATCACACACTAAACACTACGTGATTAAACTTCGAATTATAGCGGCATTGTTTGATCGCCAACAATAAATTCTCAAAGATGATTGAAATTACTTTCAGAAAGCATTTTTTAAAGTCAGTGTCAAGTTCGACCCTCGCCGCGTAAAAATGTCGCCTAGAAATAAAATTAAGTTGTTAATTTATCTTTCAATATACTTCTGCGTTTCACTTAGCGCAGTAAATTGTGAATTGAATGAAACTCGTGCGGAGACAGATTTTGGAAGTGAGTTACTTGAAGAAGGTATGTGCAATGAGATTTTTAAATTTATCATTTTTGAATCAACACTAATTTAATCCTTCTTACATTCTTAGATTTTTATCATTGTTTGGATTTTTTTGATACATCGTCATTTTTTGTAATTCGTTTGAAATTCTTGAAACTCCTCAGATCCATGATACCCATGAGATTATTCACTTTTATTTCTGGTTCATAAAAAGAGCTTATTGTTTCACTAACAGTCGACTGTTCGGCCGCCTTTCGTAGAAGTTTCGGTTTTTCGGCATTATATTCGTACTATTGTGTTATTCGTGCATCGCTTAGTCTCAAGACGCCGGACGTACCGATAGACGGACGGACAAGACATTTATGTACTGAGTTTACAACCCATAATAGCAAATCAAATATTAATATATTAATAAATAAGGAAGTTCATATTGCGCAACCTGCGCATGCGCACATTACTCGTCGTTCTTGGCTCAGGCACCAAAGCTATAAGGTACCGAAATCAAAAGGTAAGAATAAATATATTGAAAACTGTAGTAGTTACGGCGGTTTGTGATATTGTTTTGTTATCAAAAGAACTTACTAAATACGGATTTTCAAAAAGATCTGATGAATTTTACTTAGTAATAACAAAGTGTTAGAGATTACTTTTTTACATTTTTCCATAAATAACAATAACAGTTGACATTGAGCGGACCAACTGTATCTTATAGAAAATTTTTCGTACTTCCGAGACTAAAGTGACAACTTCACTCCATTATGACAAGGACTGAAGTGTCACTTTTTGTCCCGCCGGGATTAAATTTGGACGAAAATCCCGGAAGGATGAAATTACTATGAAGGCAATTTCAGTAGGTTGTTCCACATTTTGTATGCAGCCCTACTTCTTAAACGCATCGTACTGCTGCTCATATAGTTTTTTGGATTTCGGTTCAATTCATTACCTAGTTTGGCTGCTTTTTATCAATATCAAATACACCTTTGTCACCCACCACCAAAATTATGACACTAGCAATGACAGTTTCCAAATTATTTTTGTTACCATAGCATAGGGACTGTCGTACCAACGCAACGTTCCTATGGTAACTTGTTAAACAGCGATTTTTTGAAAGAACGCGTTCTCTAACTCCATACATATTAAGTGTTTCAGTTTCGGAAGTACGAAAAATATCGTATATACCTTGCAACTGCGGTCGGGCCATAAACTTTACCTTTGGGATTAAAAGTACTACTTCAGTATATAATATACTATTATTCTAAACAAGTTCATTTCTATTCATTTTTTCCCTCCGAGCAATAGTTAACGATATATTCGAAGTCAAATGTGAAAAAAACACGACATTTTTCCATTTTTTCTTCGTTTTTTGTTTATAACAATATGTTCCGGGCGTTTCCGGCCAGGGGGACTATGATTTTTGGATTCAGCGAATTTTTTTACATAGGATGCGCTTGGTGTCGTTGAGTGAACATCCAGCCCAAACCGTAATTGACTGGACTAAAAGGCCAGTGTGATAGACTTTGTGACTGTGCCCGAGCTTGTCCTTCCAAGTTTACCGGCTGTATGGGAGATTGCGCCAATGCATCTATCGCATCCTCTGCAAGATGATAAGAATGTTAAAGATGCGAAATTGTAACAAAGTTCCTCATTTTAGGTGCTCTGAAAGCGCTTTAATTATTTATTGGATTTGTGGTTAAAAAATTGCTAAAATTTACATAAAATTCCAATAAAACACCTCAAAATGTTATGGTTTATTGCAGTGGTTATTATTTAGCACAACCACTGTCATTTTGAACAATTTAAGACCACGACCACCAAAATCGGTGCCATAGATGGAGCACAATAGCTATTTCATTACTTTCCGGTTACAGGCTCTTTCTATCGCTGTACCGGGTGAAGCAAGAGGGGGAAGGAAGGGGAACTCTCAGAAAATACTTATCATATACTAACACCCCACCAAAAATCAGCTAGTTACTAATTTTATCTGATTTATGGCATTTTTTTGTCTAAAGTGCCTGGGCTATAAGGACAAAAGTTAGATAGCTTGTTTCATGGTATCATTGGAACTCGACTGACTGTTCAGTGTTCATTGACTGGCGAAAATATTAAACTGTGAAAAATTATAGCCTGCATTAATATCAGCGTCAATCAAAATCTTCAGAAAGTAGCATTCCAACAATCATTCTTCAATACTCAAATTCAAGGGCGTGTGGAAGTTTTTTCATAATGCATATGCATTGCCTTCAACGAAAACTTTTTGTAGTCATTCGTCATAAAAAAATAAAGACAAAAAATCAGCCAAAGATTTTTTTGGAATATGCATGGTGGAGGTTCTCCGTATTGCAATCTCTTTTTATGTTGTATTTTCGTACTTCATTGACGATTGACCCTCAGAGATGATTATGATTATTATTATTATGCGAATTCAGCAACTTTCTTTTTTTGGACACATGATTCCATTGCTGTATGGGATGGGGCCGCAGAAATAAGGAAAGTTTTAAATCATCATCACTGCAAAATTCAGCTTCTGAATGATGTATGCTGGGATAAAGCAGTTGACAATTATCTATGCCCTGTTGATGTTATAGGTCTATAATAGCTTCAGTTTCAGCTTTGAGAGTTGCAGCACCTAAATGGTTTTCTTCACGTTCGTCGTCTGACAAGCCACTGTCCTGATCGGTTTCTTGGTCATCTGCAGGTGGAGTTATGTAAATATCAGCGGAACCGGCGTCTTCTTCCTCTAAAGCCTGAATGAACTCATGAAGCAATAGCCTGAAAAACAGTTTAGTTTGTTAACTGGTACAAGAAATTATGCGTGGCGTCCTTTGTGTCATCCACTTACTCTCTCTTGAAGATGTAAAAATCTTGGTATTTAGCTGCATAACCTTTGAATATAAAAAAAATTATATTCAAAGGCATAACTAAGTTGGCCCCTTGACAAAAGAAGAGCACTAGAGGTATGGAGAGCGTGACATCGGGACTCGAGAGGAAAGTGCATGACGACTGGGGGCTGTCGCATTTAAAGTATGTACAGGCGAACTTTTTTATGAATAGTATGGGATTTCGGAAAGTGCAAGAGATACGGATTAGGTTAAATAGGAAAAAAATGCAGTTTTATGTGCCTTTCACGGAACACGTCGTTTATTTTCCCATAATTATTAATGGCTTGGTGGATATTTTGAAAAAAGTAGTTTTTCTACTTTTCTTGAAATTACCTCTTAATAATATACCTACGGCCTACTTTAACTTAAGGTAATATTTGTAATCTTTGTTGACTTGCATTACTAAAAAATCTATAAAGAAATTGACGGTCTAAGCGAGTAGTCACAATAATTAAATGAAGGAGTAAGTATCTGCAAAGATGATCGTATCTGTAGTATGCAGGGCTAACTAAATATAGCGAGTTTCTTTATATATTTTATTTTGTGTGTAAATTTGTTGTGTACACCTTAGGTACCTATTAATAAAAATAGTTACTGAAAAACAATTTGACATGTCTCTTTAAACAATTCGTCCCTCGGTATTGTTTACGCTCCTTGCGTGCAGAGCTACATTTTGTTACAACGGCAATTTGTCAAATTCGTAGAACACCCCACTTCACAATACAATTGGTACACACAATTTAAGTATAGAGTCAAATTCTATCACATAAAAATCATTAATTAAGTGTGGGCTAATAACTTATGAATGCAGTGTATTTGTTACATCACGCTAAAGGAATGAAAATTAATTGCTCTACTAACCCAGGATGGTTGAATTATATTGGTCGTACATTGAAGGTTTAGTTACTTTCGGTTACTTATTCAATTCCTTTCTTTATGAACGCCACTTTCCATAAATAAGTATTTATACAAATGTAACGCGTATGGGTATTTGATGCAAAAAATGACACACAATTACTCATCGGTCTGTTACTTTCTATAATTGTTCACTTTCTACCTACTTCTGTAGAGATTCAGTCAGTTAATCAGAATGGATAAATAGCTACTTATCCATCCCTTGTATATACAAATAAACTATGGACATTTAAAATGAAAGATAAGTTTACATGGGATCAGTTCTAATTTAGTTTTTATTACAGGAAGAACACTGGCCCACAACACGCTAAAACGTTTATCCTTCATCGCACCTGCAATCTTTTTCAAACTGGGCATCGCTTTCACACTGCTTCTCGTTGTCGCTTTAGTAGCTGCAAACAATGGGTTTATCGGTTTCCTAATTTTGGTTGTTGGACTGAGTACCGTCCTTTCAAGGTTTCAAACAAGACCGACCCCGATAGTACAATCCTTACCGGCACCGGTCGCGGCATTACCACTCTCATATCCAGCTGCACCCCAATTTGCTCATCATCACCACCACAACGCTTGGTTTGACAGAAGCGACAATATCGACACCCTTGAAAAGGCAAGCAAGACAGTGAATGGATATTATGGATTACAGCAAGATAACTACTATGACAGTGGCGATTTGAGAGATACAGGAGTGCTGTACAAAACGAAACTGAATGTTGCGCCGTATACTACTATCAAATAAGTTTACAACTTTACACACACTTGTTTATTTCAAGAATATTATTAAATAAATTAATTTATTTTCTTTGTTGCCGATGTGCAGAAATCTCATCCATAATTTTAGCAATAAGCATCAGGTTGGTGGACAAAAGCGCTTCAGATCAAACAAAGTGAATCATACGAGTAACTAAAAGTGTAGGTATATGAACAATTAGAACTTTCAAAACCCCAGGACTTCCTTTTGACCAAAATATAAATTCCACCTTCACTATGGTTAATGGGCAATTAAACCACTACCTAAAATTTTATTTGTGCTAACGGAAAGTGAGGATCACATTGGACCATTTGCGTCTCCTTGCCGAAAAGCAATTTCACTTTCGTTAAAAGTAAACTTAGATCAGAGTAACAGAATTCACATTCCACAACCTTCTTTGGTTTTAAAGTCAATGCCTACAAACAAATTTGCACATGCGATAGTAATGCATTACGTTGTTCCATAGTACCTTTGTGCTCTTCCTTCAAGAATAAAACCACGCACAAGCAAATAACGTCGTAAAGAATTTGTTGACAGTGAATTTTTAAGCAATCTAAAAAAACTGTAGGGCGTATGTTAAATTTCTCAAAGGTTATGGATGTTTCACTTTTAGTTTTTACCACCGTAAGAGAGGGTCAAAAAGGACCTCCCACTTTTTTGACGGAAATACACGTTTTGAAGCACCAGGAATCCGAATCAAACAAAATCTCGATGATGTCGGTCTGTCGGTCAGTCTGTACTCTCATTTCCAGATAAACGGCTGAAGCGATTGGAACACAATTTGGTACACATACGAGTATTCTTAGACATAAAAGGGAAAAATCGCGCATGAGCAGATGTGCGGGTGGCACCTGTGCTAGCAACAGCAATTTTTTAAAACATCGTTCTGGTTTCGAAGAGGCAAAAGTTTCATTTATAAGCACAACCGTGTGGAGTTATTTTTGTAGTAGATTGCCTAATATTTTTGTTGACTTGGACTTTTATAGAAGTACATGCATGGGTCCGAAATGATTCTTCGTAGTTAAACAAGAAAACAACGACAAAAGTTGACCATTCACATCAGTTCCCTATGGCTGTATATTTTGCTCTATTCAAAGCTTTACTTTACTCAAATTTCAGGAAAACTAGTTTGACTTAAAAAAAATCACAATTTGATGCTAATAATAACAAGTATAAATTGTGCACAACTCTTGTGCAGATAAAGCGCATTTTTTTTAACCGAAATAGCTTTTGTTTTGACATGACCAATGGATATATTTTTTGTAGACGTCTCCCTTTGTGAGTACCCTCTTCCGACAATCCGTTCTTGAGGTATAAGGGTATATACCCGAGCACGATAAGAGAAAAGAATTCCTTTCGTTGAGACCTTTCATTAGAGTACCATGAAGAATAAAACTAGTTCCACTCCCCCCCCCCCTTTCCGCCCCGTACTTTGATAAGAGAACAGAAAGAAGGGCAGTAGTTGGTAGAAAACGGTTCCTTTTCTTAACCACCACCCCCCCCCCCCCCAGGCCCCGTCGCTCACTGATCTCGAAAAAGAGTCGCAGGGGAAAGTTATACTTTGTACAAACCAATCTATTTCGATGAGACTTTTCATTAGAATACCATGAAGGGTAGAACATGTGTTTACCCCCCACCCCCCCATTCCTAAAGTTTAACTTAGCACCACTAAAGGCATGCGTATGCAAAATCTGAGACCAATTGGTTGTCGTATGGTAAAAGTTATGCACGTTTTACTTTCAAAAACAGCGTCTCAGGAAATAATTCGTGGCGAGCGGCTCCTTTTAGACAGCGAAATTTGATGGCAGTCTGGCACACCTTCAAGGTATAGGGCTACCTACTGCAAAAAAATCTAGGACTCTAGAACCATTCCCCTAGAAGTAGTTCAAAACGGTAGAAGTGGATCGGGATCGGCGAACGGACGGACAGACAAATTGCAAACAATAGCACATTTTTTTAATTCTTAATAAATGTACTAAAATGTCCTGTATATGCTTATTACGTTAAGTGCGTTAAGTTAGTTGATTTTATTATCTTCTTCTTTGTAAATAAAAATTAGTGTTTGTCTGTCTGCCTGTATCTCTCCTTCCTAAACCGTTCATCCAATTACGATGAAACTTTCGGGAATGATTGGACGTATACCCACGAAGATTTTGGATTTAGTAAAGCACTTTCCGAATTTCCCAAAGGAACGGGAATGCGAAAACGAGATTTAAAACTGGGAACTTGAGGCCCATTAGGAAATATTAAAAAAAAAAACTATGAACCACGGATTTCTAATGTATTGAATATCTCATTATATAAAAGCCGTTACAATAGTTTTAATTACTGTTTAAAGTTACTGAATGGTTTAATATAACAACTTCCTTTTTCGGTTGGGCAAACTTTAAAAATAATCTCATAATGTAATTCAATAATGTGGTTACTGGCATAGAAATAGCAACTTTAATAGGCCCCATATTCAATTTCTACTTTTTGACTCTATTTTCGACGAAAATTAGAGCAATGTTTGATTGAACAAAAATACTGTTAAATAAATTACTTTTGCATTTTAACCATTAATTAATTTAATATTTACTAGAATGCTAAAGTCAATCATAGATTATCGTCTATCTAATATTTAAATAAAACTTTCTGTTTCTTTAATGATATTGTGCCTATTTAAAAAAATATCAGTAATCGCCATAATCAGTTTTATTTCGGCATCATGATTGGGTATATTGAAATGAAAACTTCCACTAAAATATCTTAACCACGACTTCTTTATCAACTAAATAGGACCTAAAACCACAATACATCAAAAAGCAGAAACTGGTAAACCCACCACAATTAGACATAACAAATATTTATAAGACGTTTCGCGTGGCACCCTAATACTAAATTTCTTTTATGAACTTCGTCAACTCTGATAGTGGCCAGAGCTTGAGTTGCATCTCTAAACTAATAAATTTCAGTCTCCGGACGTCGAAAATGATATAAACTTCTAGTACCTATAGTATAATTTTCCATAATTTTACATCCACCCAGTCTCAAACGAAGTCAGAAAAAAAATGTCAACAAAAATAGTTTGTAAAAATGCACAGAAATTGAAAATGTATGTATGCAGCAAATTCTCGTGATCTTTTACTTAACAAAACGGAATTTCAGTAAACACGCAGCATTCACTGCGTTATCAAGAATATTTTTTTTGTACTACAAATCATATTTAAGTAATTTAATGTGCCACATTTGGCGGAAAAATTGTCCTATGAAGCTATTGGTCTAAAACTTGTTGGGATGACAGACCATAGCAGCTATCAATTAACGAAAACCGAAGTCCGAAGCGAAGTCTCTAGGTGAACCAGGAACCGAGATATCGATGGAACAGACAGACGAGAAAAAATCGAGTACTTAGCGTTATCAGGCTATTTTTTATTAGTTTCTTGAGCAATGAATCACAAAATGTAATGTTTTCCCTTGCAAAAAACTGTAATGGAGTTTTTTGTAGAGTTTTGTATGCCACATTGGCCAGTGTGTGCAAAAATGATTACAATTTTTTTTTTGTTATGGCCCTTTTAAACTGATGCATGTGGTTCGTTTCTTGTGAACACGATAACTCAAAAACGCCTAAACCGATTTGGATGAAATCTTAAAAGTTTAAAAGGGCCATAACAGCTTAAAAAAATTTTGTAATTTTTTCGCATACACTAGCTAATGTGGCACAAGAAACTATAAAAAAGTCCATAACAATTTTTTTGCAAGTTTCTTAGTTTCTGAGAAATTTTAAATTGAACAGTTAAACTATTCATTTTATAATTTTTCTAAATTTGCACTTTTCGGAGAAAAATGTTAAGTATATAAGATTTGCCCTGATGAACTGTACAAAAAAGTCTCATCCATTTTTTGGTCAGATTCAAAATAAAAGCGCCAGAGGTAGATATAGTCGGAAGATCGGCAGTTTTATTAAAATTTGACATATTTGACTGCTCCTCCCAACCTTAAGGCACGGGATCTCGCTGGCAGACATGAGTTTTTCTACTTCACTATCAGCATACTTTACACAAAAAATCAGCCATGTAGCGATAAGTCACTTTTTTCCGTAGCCAGCTCATAGACTTAGACCTTGATGCACACGAGCAACATGAAGAGCACTTTCAATCTTAACTCTAAAATGCATTTTTATTTTAATTTACGATATTTACTGATATATTGTAAAACAGTGTTAGAGATGAAAGGGTAGAGGTCCCATAAATTAGGAAAAGAGGTTATTTCAAAAAGATGAGAGGATTATTCTTAGGATACGGCTTGATTGAGTGTTTTATGTGGAATAGTGCCATCACGTTCCCTTAATGGGCCACTTTCACATTTTTTATTTATGTGATAAATCAATGCGGAACATAAAGAAATACCGGTATGCAAAATTTCACAATCCTAAACACACAAACTTTTAAATTATTTAAAGATAAGTTTTTCGCGCGCTTGGAAATCATTTTAAACGCTAGATTTTGCCGGGGCATGGTTGTGACGTCACAACTGTGTAAAAGTTCAGTGGCGATATACTTCCATGTATACTTCAATGCGACGACGTAGCGTATGCGTTTGTTGTTGCTTACGTTTTCTCCTGTGTACCAAGTTTTTTCCTGCGAAATTTAAGTTGTTTAGATGTGAAAATGGTGTATCACTGGTGCATGGTGCCAATGTTAAAAGAAATTGGTGTTAAAGTTAACATAAAGCCACATTATCGAAGCAAATATGTTCAGTGCAACATCAAGACGCCTACAATATGAAGAGCTGTTCCCCAATCAAATTTGATCCACTGATCCAGTAGAAAGTCCTCCTCGAGGTCCTCCTACTGCTACTCTGACACCAGGCAAAACTAGCCGTGTGAAGAATAGTCTACCCCTAAAATTGTCATCTTCCGAATCGCAGTCACACTCATCACAGACTTCGAAATATGAGAGTCCAGCTTGTACATGAGAGGACGATTTATCAGAAATTGAAAACAGTTTTAAAGAAAAGCTG